TGCATGGGTAAAGGGATGCTCCCCAAATGCCAAAAGGCCTAGGGGAAAGTCCTGGGCATGGGAGAAGCCCAGGCCATTGCTACAGCATGGGGTAGCCCCTCCCCACTGTAGGATGGCTTGCAACGAAGGTAGGAGAAGTCTTGGGCAGGAGAAACAATGAGAGAGAAATCAGAAGCCTGGGCAGTAGCTGCTGCAGTGGGATGGTCCTTCCCTGCCACTGTTCAATTAGCAACAGAAGCCAAAATGGAAGCTAAGGCAAAGGTAAGGCAGCTACAGGAAAAGTTAAGACTAGAAAGGGTACACGGCTGGTTCAAGCTAAAACTACTGAGGCTCTGTCAACATGCCTATGGGAGTCTGAGGAAAGGACAGAGGTCTGACCAGCCCCGACTGGCAGGGGTAGATCCCATGGACACATCTCCCCCAGTTCGGCATGTGCATTCCATCGTGAGGGATTATATTGCCACAGAACTGGTGGAATTGTGGAACAAGTAAACTAGATAGATGTGAAAAGGTTGAAAATTTGTTGGGGGGAAACTTTTTAACAATAATTATGTGTTATGCTGTATGTCCTTAAAACAACCTAAGATGATAGTTAACTGCTTTATGTTTTTTTATATATTTTTTATTTTTTGAGGAAGATTAGCCCTCAGCTAACTGCTGCCAATCCTCCTCTTTTTCCTGAGGAAGACTGGCCCTGAGCTAACATCCATGCCCATCTTCCTCTACTTTATATGTGGGACATCTGCCACTGCATGGCGTGCCAAGCGGTGCCATGTCCACACCCAGGATCCTAACCGACGAACCCTGGGCCGCAGAGAAGAAGAACGTGTGAACTTAACGGCTGGGCCACCAGGCCGGCCCTGATAGCTAATTGCTTTAATGTCACATGAAGTTTCTGTGAGGAATCTAAACATAATTGTTGGGAACAAATGATTTAAATAAAAATGGGTAAGAGTTTTCAGGTACAATATGTTTTATGGTCTAAACACTTGAAAAACAGCTTCCAATATCTTTTTGGTAAATTGAAACCTTAGAGTTTTGCTAAATTAAGTTAAATGATAAAAATTCATTGAGTTTCTAGGTCACTTTCCAAAGAAGATAAAATAGAAATTGATTACTAAGCCTAGATTTGTCTGCCTTTGGTTTCTTATCTCAAAGAAACTAAAAGATGCTTGAGTTAATTGATAAACATGTTTTGTGCATGCTGAGAAATTTTCTATGAGAAAACATATATTTCTAAAAAGTCTGTATATAAGGAAAGTAAAATGTATGTTTTCAGTAAAAAAGCTATAAAGAATAGAAACATTTTTTTCATTTTGTTAAAAGAAATAAATTTGTCTTAAAGTACTAACAAAAAGGCATGGAACAAAATCTGAATTTTAAAAACAAGTAACAAAAGTTTTGTGGAAGACAAACCCTAAAGAGTTTTGTGTTTGGCCAAAGTAGCTGAGATTAAAATAAATAAGTTTCAATATCAAAAGTAAGGCGGTCACAAGAAGACTGGCTCCAGTACATGCACAGGAGCAAAGACAGGCCAGGAGCATGTCTGGTCGGGGACAAAAAGTGCCTGTGGGGGCAGGGACAATGCGGTGAAAGCATGGTCCAGCCACTGGCACCAGTGGGAGCAGCGGGTGGCTGGGACTCCCCGCCCCTCTCCCCTCTCTGGTGTTGGCCCCACTGAGGCTGAGCAAAGCGCAGAGAGAACTGTCTGCCCAACAACTACCGCAGCCCGGGAACAGCAAGCACCCCTTAGGGGAAAAAAAGTGATAAACAACCTAACACTGCTCTGGTGGCTTTAAGAGCAGGCCCAGTGACAGCCTGAGAACACCCTAGCCCCCTCCACTAGGGGGAGAGCCAAAGGACCTCGACCTATCCCTGCAGCTCTCTGAGGATGGCTTGGGTATTGGGGAACTGGAGGCCACATGTGGAAATAACAGTTATTGGTCTACAAGAGCAAGAGGCATTTAGCTGTGGGGGGTAGAAATGAGCAAAATGACTTCCATTACTTTTCACTGCACCCTGCAGCAATGCTTCTATAACACCACCCGAAGGACAAAACCCCCTGATGTTGCCTTGTTTCGTTATATCCACGATGCCATGTTAACCTCGAGTCTTTTTCAGACCTTCGAGAAGCCTCCCACTCCCTCCTCGCCCACCCATGCCATTGAGGATGGGTGGTGAACAACAGCAAAGTACAAAGTATCTGGGACTGGGGGACCACCAAGCAGGAGGCCCTGACCCAAGCCAAAATAACAGTAACAAATCCAGTCCTTGGGTGTTTTAACACAAGGACAACCATGTGAATTGGACGATTCCAGTTACCCAGAGGGGTTCAGATGGGGTCTCTGGCAGAGGCAAAGCAATAAACCCCAATTGTGGAAAGGGGCTCACCCTGTGGATGGCACAATGGGCACAACAAAAGTGAACTATTAATGGCCGCCCGTTGTCGGGGGCAGAACTCTGGGATGATACCTGGCAGCGGGTCTGGGGAATGACGATAACAGCATACCATGTGTCTGCACATCAGGCGACAAAGCCACCAGGGAACCAACAAGCAGACGAGTTAGCTCGGATCTGTCTCCTAGAATAAGCGTCAGCCAAAAGAATGGCAAAGTGACTACACAAGAAGACTGGACACAAAGGACAAAGGACCCTATGGGCTGTTGCCAAGGCCTGGGGCCTCCCCCTGTGCTATGCTGTGCCATGCAGGTTTGTCAGGTGTGACCCTCCTCTTCCTTACAGAACCCTGGGCCATTCCCTGGCACACAGGCCAAATTGCCGGAAACAACCAGCCTGCTCAGTGCCAGAAGATGGACTACACTGGGCCCTTGCCTCTTTCTGATGGCTGCCAGTATGGTCTCACTTGTGTGGACACGTCTACAGGACTGCTGCAGGCTTACCCCAGCAGGAGGACCACACAGAAGACCACAAAAAGAGGCCTGGAACACCTCTCTTCTGTGTATGGTGTTCCCATGGACATCAACAGTGACCAAGGTACACATTTTACTGGCCACCGTGTACAGACATGGGCTGATCAGATGGACATACATTGGCATTTTCACCTGCCATACAACTCCACAGCCACAGGGCTGATGGAACGAATAAACAGCTTGCTGAAACAACAACTGAGGACAGAAGACAGGGCCCTAGCCCCCTGGATGAGATGCCTGACAACTGCAGTATGTCAACTAAATAAGCATGAGAGGCACACCCGACCCAGTGCATATCAGATGTTGACACAAAGACCTGATATAATAGTACATCTATAAACAAGGGCTAATTAAAGAGAGAAACTACAACCACAGGTGGACACTCAGAACAACTTGCTTTGGTCTGTGCTGCAGAACTCACGGTGATAACAGTCCTGGGCTTGGCTAACCCAGCTGCTTTCTCGTGGGAGAGTTAGCACAAAAACCTTGAAGTCTGAGGGAACACGGAGGCCCCCGGGCGTGGTTGGGGCGGGGGGCGAGTTGGCGGGGAGTGGCAGGGTGGGGCCTCTGGTCCTTGGAATGCAGGTCATACAGGGACACTTCCCCTTGGCAAGCACACAGCCTTTGTTCCTCCGCCTACTTAAGCAAGCTTCTCTTGGGGGGCAGTGGCGGGTGCGCATTTCCTGTCCAGCCAACCGCCACTGGACCTTCCTTATAAGTAACTCCAACAAATCCATATGTCTCATTCACTGTCTCCAGGTTTTTCCTTTGGTCTTTCAGCAACCTATCCCTCACTGCTCACCCAGCTGGGCGTGTGGCGGAACACAAGAAAACAATCAGCGACTAGGTGTTCACCTCAGGAGAATTTCATAGAAACAGCAGAATTTCCAACATAGCAACAGTGCTACTGACTGACTCAGTGGCTGCTGGGCCTCTAATCCTAATACCTCTTTATTCACAATGACCCCTCTCCCTGTCTCAGGTGTGGCTCCCAACACCAGAGGCAATAGATTCATCAGATCAGTTTCCTTTGCTCTTTGGGAGCTGAGTTTTCTCTGCCTCATTGACAGAATCAACAGCTCTCAGATGGGTAGTGGGCTTAGCCTGTGGGCTTACGAGGCCAGAATTTAGATAGAAGGAAGGTTCGTCTCAAGAAAAGAGGAAAGAAGGACGTCCGCACTTAGAGCCATAGGAAAGAGATGAATACTCGTGTATGGGGGATGGGCGGTGGAGGTGTGACCATTCATGCCAATGGAGGCTTCTGTTACCTCTGAGACAGAAGCTGAGGGAGAAGTTATGAGAGGGGAAGGTAATTTTTTATAGGGATTTATGAGTGAGAAAAAGGGGAAAGAAAAGACTTACTGCCCAAAATGTGTCCCTGTGTGGGCACACGTTATTGTGTGCAAGTTTGTTGGGGGGAGGGTGCAGGGGGTTATGTGTATGTGTGTGTGAAGTGGAGGCTGGTGAAGGATCTCAGTCCTGAGAAGTCAAGCCCAACTCACTTCTCTAGGGACAGGATTTGCCCCAAGTCCTAGCCCTGGCTTCAATCCCCACCCCTGGTCTGTTTGGCTAGTTAAATATAGTTCCCGGAGATTCTTTGTAAAGATCACTATCCCTAACTTGTAAGACAGAACATTTAGCCCAGAAGACATCAATCTTTAAGCCAGCAATAGCAGACATGTAGGGGGGAAAATCCTCACTTTCAAATGGATTGTTTATGTTAAAGTATTCTTTGCCCTGGTAGTAAATGAACAATGGTTTTCCAGAATCCCGCAGGAGGAAGACACTGGAGAAGCTGGATGAGTTTGTGTGCATGAAATGCCAAGAGGCAGGTGGCTGGGTTGGAATTTAAAAGAGAAAAGTAGAAACAGAAAGTGCCAGACAAGGAGTGCTTTCCCTCTTCATAAAGTACTAGTATGCAGGGAGAGTTTAAAAGAAAATGCAAGTGATCTTACCCATTGTGGATAGACTGGTTTCATGTCTGTTATGTCTGTAAATAAAACGGCATGAAATACTGGGAAAGGTTGAAACGACCCAAAGAAGAGCTAATTAAATTTTCTTGCAAGTCAGCAGGTTAAGTTTTGAGAGCCTGTGTTTGAATCAAGTGACAGCTACAGAACAGCCGGCAGATATGTTTAAGAAAATTGTATAAATAAATCTAAGATTCTGAATAGACTTGGAGGTTAGACAGACAAGGAAGTTAAAAAATATGGCAAGGTGAAGGAATTGTTTTAATGGACCCTGGTTAATGAGTAACATTTTGGCGGGAAAGGCAAAAGACCTGATAAACTTTTCCTTTCAGTGCTGGAGTTTAGTTAGAAAAAGAAATACTCCAGTATTAGTGAAGATTTTTGTCATCAAATTTCATGGGCTTTCCACTCCATCCCATTCTCCAGCTGCTCATGCTTCCCATCTGGGTACAAGGATTAGGTAATTCTTCACTTTTTCTCTCAAATGCATTTGGCTGGAAATCAGTGGCAGATAAATACCAGGCTGTGGTCTTTTTACTTTCATAAAGTTAGGTGAACTGAACATTATGTTTGGGTCTGCATGTCAATCACGTAACTATCCAAGTTGTTGGTTGCAAGCAAACTGTTTCAGTTGAGCATATTTGAAAGTGACTTAGTAAACAGAGAATGAAAGAAAGGTCATGAGCAGGGCTTCTGAAGTGAGTACGGGTAGCTCAACCCAGGGAAACCACAAACATGCTGGAAACAAAGGAGCTCTTTGCGAGTTAGTTGGTCAGTTGGTTAGTTTAGTTCGTTTGCTTTGCAGTAGTTTTTGCAGCCAATTTCCTTTTTGAGTTTGACTGGTTTTGAGGTTTTCCTGGTCATCAGGAAGTTTTTCATTTTATGTTGTCTAATCTGTTAATTGTTTCCTTTGTGGGTTCTCTTATCTTTACAAACTGGTATACACTTGAGACACATTAAGGATTTATTAAATATTTAAGTCCTGTTATTTTCTAGTTGTTTAAAATTATTTGATTAAGGATATTTAACTTGAATCCATCTAAAATCAGTTTAGTTCACGGTAAGGGCAACAACTAATGTTCTATAGGAATTCAGCAGAGGAAAAAAACTATGATACCTTCTAGGTAAGGAGTTTTTTAATCTTTGCATTTAAGTAAAACTGACATACAGGAATGTGTACAAGCATACTATACAGTTATATTAATTTTCATAGTGATCACACCAATATATCCAGCACAGATCAAGAACAGAACATTCACAGCCTCCCAAGGCCTTATTCATGCACCCTTCCTTTCACTGTCCTCTCCTAAGAGTACCACTTCCCAACGTCTGTATCGGTTGTTTTTATCTGCTGTTCTTTATGTAAATATATGCATAATATTTATATGTATAGAATTTGTATATATTATTTGTATATAATATAATTTATGTATAATATATGTATAATATTTATATAATAAAATATATATAACTTTTATATATAAGTGAAATAATTTAGCATTTATGCATTTGTTTCTGGTTTCCTTGGCTCAACAATATTTTGGTGAGCATTATGCATATTGCTGAGAGTAGATGTAGTTCAGGAAATCTCATCGCTCTATAACATTCCATTGTGTAAATACTATAATTTATTTACCAATTCTACTATTGATTTGCATTTGGGTAATTTCTTGCTTTTGACTATTACAAATAGTGCTTCTATGAGCATCCTTGTACATGTGTTTTGGAGAACATATATATGCATTTCTATTAGAAGTATACCCAGGAATAGATTTGCTGGTCATAGCATATGTCTATGTTCAGCTTTAAGATACAGCCAAGGGGTCTTCAAATTTACAGTCCCATCAGAGTGTGTGTGAACTGTGTTTTCTATACATCCTCACTAAACTTGGTATTGTCTGTCTTTCATGTTAATCATTAATCAGTCCAGGTTTTAATGTGTATTTCCTTGATGACTAAAGAAGTTGAGCATCTTAAATATGTTTATTGGCCATTTAGACATTCTCTTTTGTGATGTGCATATTCAAATATTTTGCTCAATTTTCTATTGAGTTACCTGTTTTTGTCTTATTGATTTGTGAAATTATGTATATATTAAAATACAAGTCCTTTGCTATATATATGTATAGCAAATATCTTCTCTCACTCTGTGGATTGCCTTTTACTTCTGAAGATGTATCTTTTCATAGACTGAAGTTATTAAATCTTAAAATAGACCAATTTTTCACTTCTGGTTCTTTATCATTTCATATTCCTAAGAAAGGAATAAAGTATCAAATAACTGTTGATGTGTGCCCTATTTAATAAATCATTGGCTATTCCAGCCAAATAGATGTTATATGATACTTTATTTTATTTTTTATTTATTTTTCCATTAAGCTTTGCACTTCTCTTTTTTAAGTTAAATTTAGTTTTTTTTTAATTGAGGTAACATTGGTTTGTAACATTATATAAATTTCAGGTGTACATCATTATAATTTGATTTCTGTGTAGGTTATGTTGTTTCACCACCAAAAGACCAATTACCACCCATCACCATAGACATGTGCCCAGTCACCTCTTTCACCCTCCTCCCTCCCCCATTTCCCTCTGGTAACCACTAATCTAATCCCTGTATCTATGTGTTTGCTTGTTATTGGTTTTATCTTCTATTTATGAGTGAGATCATATGGTGTTTGACTTTCTCCATATGACTTATTTCACTTAGCATAATAGCCTCAAGGTCCATTGATGTTGTTGCAAATGGCAAGATTTCATCTTTTTTATGGCTAAGTAGTATTCCATTGTGTATATATACCATATCTTCTTTATGCACTCATTGGTTGATGGGCACTTAGGTTATTTCCAAGTCTTGGCTATTGTGAATAATGCTGCAATAGGGGTGCATGTATCTTTATGCGTTCATGTTCTTTGGATAAGTACTCAGCAGAGGCATAGCTGGAACATATGGTAGCTCTATTCTTAATTTTTTGAGGCTTCTCCATACTGTTTTCCATAGTGGCTGAACCAGTTTGCATTCCCACCGGCAGTGTATGAGAGTCCCCTTTTCTCCACATCCTCTTCAACACTTACTGTTCCCTGTCTTGTTAGTTATAGACATTCTGATGGGCATGAGGTGATATCTCGTTATAGTTTTGATTTACATTTCGCTGACAGTGATGTTAAACGTCTTTTAATGTGCCTGTTGGCCATCTGTATATCTTATTTGGAAAAATGTCTGTTTCAGATCTTTTGCCCACTTTTTAACTGGGTTGTTTGTTTTTTGTTGTTGAGATACATGACTTCTTTGTATATTTTGGATATTAATCCCTTATCAGGTATATAGTTTGCAAATATCTTCTCCCAGTTGTTAGGTTGTCTTTTCATTTTCTTGATGGTTTCCTTTGCCTTGCAGAAGCTTTGTAGTCTGATGTAAGTCCCATTTGTTTATTTTTAATTTTGTTTCCCTTGCCTGGTCAGACATGGTATATGAAAATATGCTGCTAAGACCAATGTCAAAGAGTGTACTGCCTATGTTTTCTTCTGGGAATTTAGTGGCTTCAGGTCTTACAATCAAGTCTTTAATCCATTTTGAGTTAATTTTTGTGTGTAGTATAAGATAATGACCTACTTTCATTCTTTTGCATGTGGCTGTCCAGTTTTCCCAACACGATTTATTGGAAAGACTTTCCTTTCTCCATTGAGTGTTCTTGGCTCCCTTGTAAAAAATTCGCTCCCCATAGATGTGTGAATTTATTTCTGAGCTCTCAGTTCTGTTGCCTTGATATGTGTGTCTGTTTTTGTGCCAGTACCATGCTGTTTTAATTAGTATTAAAAAGTTTTTAGTATATTTTGAAATCAGGAAGTGTGATACCTCCAGCTTTGTTCTTTTTTCACAGGCTTGTTTTGGCTATTTGGGGTCTTTTGTTGTTCCATATAAATTTTAGGATTCTTTGTTCTATTTCTGTGAAGAATGTCATTGGAACTTTGGTGGAGATTGCAGTGAATCTGTAGATTGCTTTAAGAAGCATGGACATCTTAACTATGTTAATTCTTCCAATCCAGCAGCACCAAATATCTTTCCATTTCTTTGTGTCATCTTCAATTTCTTTCAATAATGTCTTATAGTTTTCAGTGTACAGGTCTTTCACTTCTTTGGTTAAACTTATTCCTAGGTATTTTATTCTTTTTTGTTGCAATTGTAAATGGGATTGAATTCTTAATTTCTCTTTCTGCTACTTTGTTGTTAGTGTATAGAAGCAGGACTGATTTTTATGTTGATTTGTATCCTGCAACTTTACTGTATTCATTTATTATTTCTAATATTTTTTGGTGGATTCTTTATGATAGTATTATATATAATATAATATGATAGTATTATATTAAATAATATAAATATATTATATATTTATAATAGAATAAATATATATTTATTTCCATACGTAAAATCATGTCATCTGCAAAAAGTGACAGTTTCACTTTTTTCTTTCCAATTTGGATCCCTTTTATTTCTTTTTCTTGCCTGATTGCTCTGGCTAGGACTTCCAATACTGTGCTAAATAAGAGTGGTGAAAGTGGGCATCAGTGTCTGGTTCCTGTTCTTAGAGGGATAGCATTCAGTTTTCCTCCATTGAGAATGATATTAGCTGTGGGTTTGTCATATATGGCCTTTATTATGTTGAGGTACTTTCCTTTTACACCCATTTTATTCAGAGTTTTTATCATAAATGGATGCTATATATTGTCAAATGCTTCCTCGTGTCTATTGAGATGATGACGATTTTTATTCTTCATTTTGTTAATGTGGTGTATCGCATTGATTGATTTGTGGATGTTGAATCATCCCTGCATCCCTGGAATAAATTCCAATTGACCATAGTGCCTTATTTTTTAATGTATTGTTGTATTCGATTTGCTAGTATTTTGTTGAGGATTTTTGTATCAATGTTCATCAGTGATATTGGCCTATGGTTTTCTTTTTTTGTGTTGTCCTTGTCTGGTTTTGGTATGACAGCAATGTTGGCCTTGTAGAATGAGTTAGGAAGCTTCCCTTCCTCTTCAATTTTCTGGAAGAGTTTAAGAAGGACAGATATTATGTCTTTTTTAAACGTTTGGTAGGATTCACCATGGAAGCCATCTGGTCCCGGACTTTTGTTTTTTGGGGGCTTTTGATTACTGTTTCAATCTCCTTACTGGTTATGGGTCTATTCAAATTCTCTATTTCATCTTATTCAGTTTTGGAAGGTTGTATGATTCTAAGAATGTATCCATTTCATCTTGATTATACAATTTATTGGCATGTAGCTTTTCATAGTATTCTCTTATAAACTTATGTATTTATGAGGTCTCCATAGTAATTTCTCCATAGTAAAATCATTTCTGATTTTATTTGCTTGAGCCTTCTCTCTGTTTTTCATGGTGAGTCTCGTTTTATCTTTTCAAAGAACCAGCTCTTGGTTTCATTGATTTTTTTCTATTTTT